AGGTCGCTTTCCAGATGTCCTTGATGATGAAAACCCCTTCTCTCAACTACTTTTACGAGTAATATTGCCTTGGGTCACCAGCTTTTCATCATCATCTAAAGTAGCCGTTGACCCTCCATGATCATTAGAAATCTCCTCCGTTGTGGGAAAAGGGGGACCAAGGCCCAAGAAAGCAAGCCTTTCAACATTGATCAAACTCCTAAGAGGCCTTGGACCGCCCTTACAACCACTGTTATCCTTGCCCGATTAACCAGACTCAATAGGGGCTCCTCCATTACAAAAGCAAATAAGGTTATCTTACAAGCAAATACAAAAATTCTCTAATGTGTTCAAAGCAACAACCTTACTCATATTGGTCGGAACGTCCCAAAGCCAAGGATCATGAGCTTCAGCTCCTACTGCCCCTTCAAACTCCCAACCATCTCTAGAAACGACTTCCCCAGCTGGGAAGAGGATTGCGGAGGCCAGAAATCAGTTTTGACATACCATCCCTTCTAAGGAACCAATAGAAGCCATGACAAGTAGGAGCCAAATGGAAGAGACTAAAGAACTCGACCATCGATGGGGAATGACCCTACCCCATTAGGCGCCAAACGGCCATAATGCCAACCAAAATACTCCATCCCTCCATAGAGAGATGGACAGGGCATAGATTGAAGTAATGGAGGACTAATCTGACAAAAGTGGACAGTGAAAAGCAAAGGCCCGCCTCAAAGGCGTATTCAAAGAAGTGGACCCTTCGCATGGAAAGCGTGTTGCAAGGAAAGTCAGAATCAGAGACATGGACCCGTATCTCGATAAGAAACCCTTAACTACCCCTAATGTCCTCTAGTTGCGCTCTGGTCACCTCACTGGGCATTAGGAGATCTGCCCAAGTAGGTTCCATGTTGAAAGAAGCTCGCCTTCTAAAAGTCCAACTTCATTGTTATCGTGCAACAAGATCCATAGAGAAGAAATGAATTGGTTATTTACAAAATGATATTTGAAGGGGAAGAGAGAATGAGGAAGAGAGCTCGAGGAAGGTGGTTTAAATAATGGCGGTTATTTCCTATAAATGTCAGTTAATGTCAACTACAGACCCCACAAATGCTTGACCATTCAAGGCATTATGAGAATGAAGCGACAGCAGCCAGACCGCCAAACGATGTGACTGTGCCGACAAAAGCATAACAATCACACACACACACGTCCCTTCAAGCATCATTAAAGAGGTAACTCAATTATGTTAGACTCTTTTACATTCACTAACCTTTCAACTTCCTGTAAGCCCATCTCGGACTGGGCCCAAAAGGCTCAACCAAAAGGCGAGGCTCTAGGCCCAGCTTGGATTAGGTCCAAAAATAAAAAATTAGACCTCAAGACCATCTTACATAGGGTTCAATGAGCTTCCCAATAGTGCAAGCCACCAATTTTAGCCCATACAGGGCCCAACAACAGACATCAACAAAATTAAACACAAGAAGATGCGGAAAGGAAAAAGACTGTACAAGAAAAAGCTTCTCATTAAAGAAAAAAAGGGGCATTTCATGTCATTACAAAAAAATGAGCTACTAAGTTGCCTCCTTGGGTAGTTCCATTGAATCAAAGGCATTGGCAACCTTTTTAGAAGAGCCTACAATGTCCCCCATGATTTCTTCAGCCAAAATAGGTAGCTCCTTGGTGGCAACCTACACAAGCTCCTCTCTTTCCTGTCCCAGCAAAGGCTTGTTGTTCACCCCCTCACCATCACCTTCTTTTTTATCTCCTCCAGCCACCGATGTTGCATCATCACTAGGTTTGAATTGGGAGAAATCCAAGTCTGGGAACTTCTTCTAGACCCATTTCTTGAAATCCTCAAAGCCGTCTACATAGTACTCCAGTACTTCCTCTCTAAATTCTTGGGAGTCTAGGTACTTTGACACTATAGTTTCTCTAACGAACTTGATCTCGAACTTCTTTTGCTCTAATATGGCTGAGAATTCAAGTACCTTTTGAGAAAGGGTTTTCTTTTCACCCTCTAAGTCCTTGTTCCTCATAGAAAGCTTGGTGGACTCTCTCATGATATTGTTCAACCTAGTCAGTAGCTCATTCTTGGCCTTCAAAACCTTGTCTCTATCTTTCTCAACAATAAAAAAGGCGGCTAGAGGTCTTCTTAGCTTCTTTCATGAGCCGTAGGACATCTTCCCGAGCTGACCTTAGCTCAGCATCTCTCGCCTCCAATTGGGAATGCAAGGACTAAAATTCCTCCTTGCAAGCCTTCTTCTCATCCACGATGGTGTGGGAAAGGCTAGTAATAAGGATGACAAGCTAAAAGAGAAGGAAAAGAAATTAAATCTAGAAGAGGGGGGAAACAGCTTTAGAGTTTTCAGATGTCTTACCTTCCGAATGGTGAGGGTTAGATTCTTTGTTACCTAGGATGGCCCTAGGTCAAAGGTAGCATGTACCTCATCCTTATGCACAAATTATTGAAGCTGATCCATTGCTTCTTCCATAGTGTCCCATGTGTTTGACGGTGTAGCTGCCAAACTCATAAGAGAAGATGGAATAGTGCGATGTTTCTCCTCAGCAAGTTCTGAAGTCTTATCTTTCCCTTTATCTAACAAAGGGCAAGGGGAACTTCAATTAAAGGGACACCCAAGAGATGTTCCACTAGTTTGAAAGAGCCATCTCAATAGATTCCAGCTAGAGTGGTGCCATGTCCCGAGGTAGCGTTAGAGATCGAGGGAGACACCCACAAGGCATTGGAGCTTGGGGATGTCCCTTTGCCCTTGAAGAAGGACACCCTTTGCCTCTTTCATAAAGGAGGGATAGCCTCTCCTAGCTGCAACCTCTTGAAGGGACTTCTTGTCAATTACTTTCGGGGCAGAGATGAAAGAAAAGGACAAATTAAAAGCATACCCAGGCTAGAGCAAATTGAGATAAGGCAGAAGAACTATACCTTTAGAAGAAAAGGCCACTATAGCCAAAGAGTTGGAAGTGCTTGGAGGAGGACCCAGTAGACACTCGAAGAGGGCTTGATCACTTACAAGCTCGGAGAGATCTTTCATAGGGTAGTCGAGCGCCTTCTTGACCCGAATTTGCAATTCGGAAGGTAGAGGATTTGATTTACATGCATTCCAAGAGAGTAAGGAGTGAGAATTCGATGAAAATCATGGGAAAATCCATGCCAAAGGGAATCTATTTCAAAGAGAAGGAATAAGAGACCCCCAGATATGAGGGGTCAAAAAGTAGTCATTTGAAGGAGCCTTAGAAGGCCCAATTTCCCAACCAGGGCCAAACACAAAAAAGAACTTATCTTTCCACTCCTTCACGTTTGAAGAGTAGCCTATTAGTAAGCTTGGACCCTTTCTCTTTGCGAGGTAAAACCACCCTAGGCCTTACCTAAAGCAAGGGGTGAGTTTGTAACATTGCATAAGCTCAGCAAAGGTATGTTGTATGTTGATGCCATTCGCCTTGGCCCAAATGGCGCCAATACCAATCAAAAATCCCTAACTGTTAGGGGTTAGTTGGGCCAAACTGAATTCAAAAGGTGGAGTGCCTCCCTAACATATACGGCATTGAAAAGCAGAGCCTAACTTCGAGAATAAATTCATAGAAGTAGACTTCATTGGGGAGAAAGAATTAGCAGTCTCGCCAGTAAAAGGGACCCTAAAGTACACAATGTCTGGAATTCGATATAAAGCCTTAATTTCTTGAAGGGGGTACTCATCCAAGCAACTACTATAGTTCCTAGCCCCCATAACTCTTAAGAGACAAGGAACCAATCTGCAATATGGAATCAGAGTCCTCGTTAGTCGCGTCGGCCTGGGCCACTAGCGTTGGAATGCTCTCAGAAGGGGAATGTTCAGAGTCAATCGCCATAATCAAAAAACTACGGGATTGATATATAAATTTGGTGGAAGGGGGTGATTAGGACTATTGACAATCAAGAAAAGGCAAAAATCAAACACAGGTTTAAGTCAAAGTACTAACAGACTTATTTACAAAAGACTCCAAACAATCAAGGTTGAAGTTTCTCCACCTAAGAGACCAAAAACGGTAGAAATGAAACTAAAAGGTATGAATCCAGCCTAGGCGCTCCAAAATGAAGAGTTATAATGAAATAGAAAGACGGAAGGAGATGGGTACAAAGCGTCGAAGGCGTACCAAACTTCTTAAAGCTCTCGAAGATGTGCAAGACAACAAAAAAGGAGAAGGCTTTATGTGCCGGACCCACAACGGCTCTTTGGTAGTTACGTGCTCAAGGCTAACAATCTCACCTTTCTAACTTCTAACAAACAAGGGTATTGAATGCATGACAAGTTCTCTCCACTAGTCTAAATTAGGGGGCAACTGGTGAACATAAATTAGTGAGGATCTCTACTGCCCAATAGGTTAGCTCTGACAAGGACCCAACTATTAGCTCGCCGGTAATTCAACTTGGTAACAAGTTCGCCACATTGACCAATCACACTCAATTGAGATACCCACATTAAAAGGCGTCAGCTTCAATTCCACTGCTGATGCCGCCTTATTCAAATAGTTGCTAAGGACCTCTAATGGTCTCCTTTGACCTATAAAACTAGGAACAGTCCAGGTAAGTAATCATCTCCCAACTAAATACAATTTACTTGATCACAGTGTCTAGACTTTATTATTAGTTGGTTGACCACCGAAACTCCTCCGGTCCTTGACTTCCGTTGCAGAAATTCCACACCAGTGGCTAGATCATCTTCTCGGTCAACAACACCTGGTGAACAGTTTTTGTAATCAACACCTAGAACAATTGTCAACTCTAAATGCACCATTCCCTACAGAATAAGCAAAAGATAATTTCCTACAAATTATTCCAATTTTTTCTTTTTTGTGGTCTGTGTGTGTGTGTGTTTTTTTTTTTTGTTGGAAGGGGCACCCGGGGGGGGGGGGGGGGGGGTGGAGGGTTGTAGTCCTAGTAGCGAAATCACATTTGCAACGCAACAAGCACACAAGAATCAGTCATCTACCCTAACCAAAATTTTGTAATAGTAGTAACTCCTCAATCCCAACAAACAAGAGAGCCCAACAACACTTTGCGTTGAGTATAGTGATTTTGCCAAATCATTTGTGCTACAAATTTGCTCCCAATTTTGGTTGGTGTAAAATTTCTGAAAGACTAATCAACGGAAAGACGTGCAGAAAAAGAATAGAAATCACAGCAATTGCAGCTGCTGATGATGTAGTTAGTCAGTGGTGATGATTGCATCAACATTACAGACCAAGTAAGCAATTGATGACTAATCAATGACTGATTCAATTCTCCGCTTCCATATTATATCTTGTAGTGGACCCAGATCAGATAACAATAAAATCCAAGATTGGAAGTATCCCAACCCAAAAAGTGTCCTGCGATCACCTAACACCAAACACAAGCTCATCCTCCAAACACAACCTATACACTGATGCCTACCAACAATAGGCTTGTTAGCTCACTGCAATCACCTGCCGAGTGGACCATAGAAACACCAGGCCCTGGAAAACAGCTCAATAGTAAAACCTAGCACATCAGCTGGTGCTCAGCTCAAGTTTTGCATCTGGCTTGACATTCCACATTCTGCTCGACTAGATCAAATATTTGGTGGCTTGGTCTATGGAAGGACCAAGTTATAAGCAATGCAGCATTGATGTAGATTAAGCATCCACGCCCCCAGGACAAAACAAATCTGGAAGTTCTAAAACAATATACAATATAGCATTTGACAGCAAGTAGTCTAAAAGTTTATGCTATGATCCAACATAGAATTCATCTTAAAAAGCACAAAATAATTATGAAACAGGACTGGAAGGAACAAAACCAAACATTAAAGCATCTTTGATACAAAAGCTATTTGAGACCAGCAGGGTCACACTGAAGCACTGGGCTGCATTTCATATTCCACTATTAACAACCCCCATGTCCAGGATTCCTCCAAGAAAGTATATTTCTTATCCACTCTATCACCCTGTTGGAAATAGCGCCACATCAAGTGTGGGAAAAATCTCACAACTGACAGCTAACAAATCCCACTCATAAGAAATACGGTACTCCTGTTCTGGGTCCTCTCATCTGGTTATTTTCCTCTGTTTCAGTGAAGAACTTGACCTCTCTCTCCTAATAGAATCATCAATAATCAATGTTTACAAAAAACATTAAAAAAAAGCACAAGACGGACAAAAAAAATAAAAAATTATCAAGATGTACAAGATATTGAGAACTTAATTGGAAACAACCAAAACATAAACTAAGAATGATCAGTTGCAGAAATTAAATGCAGCCTTTGTAAAAGTGTGCAGTTGAATTCTTTCTTGTCTTTCCCTTTTCAAGATTTTTCTTTTTTGAATTTTTTGGGTGAATTTTTTTTTTCTGGGGCATCAACTAGGCCCAAGGGCCAAAGGCATATCGCTATTCTATACAAAAATCCCATCATCCATTACCTGTATGAGGTACAATGGTCCCATATCACTAAAAGAATTAAGTCAGTCTTGCCAAAACCCCAAAAAGATTCAATCATTTAATTATGGCACAGTACATGCTTACTATATAACAGCAATTGGATTTAATACTGCTGTACCCTGCTTGCGAAGAATGAAATAAATAAAGCATTAATATCTGGTGCTGGTACCATATTCTCATTGAAGCTCAATATTGAAGCCACATTTCCACAACGGTAACAATAATTTGGCGCAGACCACACCTGCAGAAGCCAAGAAGAAAGGGTAAAACCTATCTCGCATATGACAAGATTCTAGGGCTTGAGCCCTATCATATGAACTTTGTAATATTGAATAGCCAACTCACAGTTACAAGTCCTTTATCTTGGAACATGTATTTCAAACCTTCCTGAACAAGTTGGTGGGCCCGGCAAACCAGATCCAGTTTGTTGATATGATTAAACTGCAGAGAGCACATATCAGTTTTAGAATGTAACAAGGCAAATAATTAAAATGACCATCTTTCCTCACCTCAGAAGTGACCCTTGATCCAAAAAGCCAGCCTGCTCCTCGAGGACTGACTGCCCATGTTTCAATATCTTCAGGGTCACTCCACATGAGATCGCAGAAAGGCCCTTCATGGGGAATTTCACAATTTCGCTCAATGACCCTAATCTGCTAAGTAAAAAAGGGAAAACAAGACTAATTGCAGCCTCATAGAGTTCATAGTAAATTTCTTGAATCAAATAAAAATGGTTTTGTGAAAATGAATAGAAGATTGCACTAAAAATGTCAACAAATACCACCACGTTCAAAATCAAGGGGGTGGTTTGTGTCAAATGAACAAGCCATGCCCATTTAAAACTCCCAAAAGTCATATTTAAAAAAGAAAACTGAATGGACCCCAAGAATCCATTTATGCTCATTATCATTCAGTAGGCAAATAAATACCCATATAATATATTTGCAATATGCATAGTTTTATTTTGTTATCTTTGATTTTTTGGTGGCTCAGAATATGTATAATGGAGGTGCAAAATAAACCAATTAAAAAAAATGTTGCACTGCAAGCAAACCTTAGTCGTTGTGTGCCACAGTATGTGCAAAATGTTTAGTTTTATTTGTGGAAAAAAAACTCCAAAAAAAAATTGTTCTTCATCAGTTGCCAAAAATGCAGCGCGAGGCACTTAATCCCACATAAATCAGGCAACAGAAAAAAATCATTTTTATGAAAAGAAGCAAAATAAACCACAGCCTTAAAGAGATTCAACACCTTTATTTTGTTATTGGTGGTTCAGAATATGTACAATGAAGATGAAAAATAAACCAATTACAGAAGTGTAGTACAGCAAGGCAAACCTGGTCAATAGTTCTAATGTCAGGAGAAAGGCCACCATGGACACATAGTACCTAGAATTCCAAATAGGCGTTATAAAACATGCAAGAAGAAAATGTTGTGTCACAAGCGCTCGCACACACACAGAGACACAGAGAGGGCATACTGTTCCATCTATAATTGCTGACAGAGTTAGATAGTCAAAAACATCTGTGCAATATCGCCAAGCATTAGCATTTCCATATTTCCTTTGGCATTCATCATAGAATCCATAGACCTAGCAAAGACAAAAATACACATATTAGTAAAATTAAGGCATTGTTACATATGGTTTTCCTCAGCCACATATTCATGTATCTCATGCCATAATAATGAACAAATTAATCAAGCAACTTAAAACTTACTCCAAAGCAGACATAAAGAAAGATAAAAATAATTAGTCAAGGTATGCTCAATGCAATATCACACCTTGGACAGCCTACCATTGGCATTAAGCCCTTGGCAGGTGGTTCCCTAAACCTAGATAGTAATAGGGCATAAAAACAACATCCCAGGGCAACAACTTAGCACCCTGATCCTGGACGGTGATGTTTCTCAAGGACACTAGTTAGACACCTCAACAACGCAGCATCAAAACAGTGCTGACCCCACAAGTTCATCATCTTGTTTGCCAAGGAAAAATAACTGCATTGAGCTTTTTCAAATAGTTAAAAAAAAATTTCAAGCAGCATAAATTTACAGTGTGACACTGAAGCAATGAAGGTGCAAAGAGAACAAAGCCGAACTATTATGGAACTGAAGTTTAGTCCATATTTCACATTGTCTACATGTGCACCTCCGCACACAACATTGTTGCTGTGAAATGGAGATTTAATGGAATTCCACTTTTTGGGCCACAGTTTCAAAGGAGATCAATGGAATTTCGCTTTTGGCTATTTTATTGGGATGAAGAGCTTCGTTTGTTCTATAGGCTATTTTATTCATTGCTTTTATTTTTCTTGCGTGTAGTTCGATATTCTTCATATGTTTTTCACATCTTATTTATTAATAAAGTAATTTGTTTCCTATCAAAATTTATTTTGATTTAAAGTTTTGGTGTGACTCCATATTTATCTGCCTTGTTGAAAAATACTATACCAAATATATATCTAGCTCCAATGGACTGATAGTTAATTTTAACATCTATAATAATAAGATATAGTCTGTTTCAAACATTCCAAATTGAAATCAGCCCCCCAATTTAGAAAAGCAGAAGAACAACTAAAATTTGATTAAAGTTTAGGTATACGATTCAAATCTCTTCTAAACCTATCTAAGTAACTTAAATGGCTCACAATCCATCCCACCTAAATACATCCTCCCGCCCAGTTTAACCACACACACACTCCACCCATAACACAAACCAAAGCTGGCAGACCCTCCCCATCCCAGGCGCCCCTCTTTCTCTCTCTCTCTCTCTCTCTCTCTCACTCAACTCACTCACACACACACACACACAGCTCCTCTGCCGTCAACCAGGTACACCTCTCTCTCTCTCACGACTCACAGAGTCAAACACATATACCTTGTCTAACCCACACACACCATCACACATGCACACGCACACACACATGCACACACCAGCACACAGAACCTCGCACACCATCGTGCGCGCACACACAACATCAAAATAACACACAAATTGGTTTGATAATTTTGATTTTAATTTGGTGTTCATTTGGGTTTTAATTTGGGTGTTTATTTAAATAAGTTTGAAATTTTTTGTTATAGCTTGAATGTTACAGTTTGGGTGCTTTGAATGCTAAATTAGTTCGAATGTTATGGTTTGAGTGTTTTAAATATTAAATTGGTTTTAATGTTATAGTTTTTTTTTTTCTTAGGGTTTTATTGAATGTTATAATTAAAATAAATTTAAATGTAATAATATGGGTGTTTTAGATGTTAAATTGGTTTGAATGTTATAGTTTGATTTTCAAATTGGGATTTTTCATAGGGTTTTGATAATAGGGTTTTTATTGAATTTTGTAGTTGTTAGTCATATTTTGATTCAATGTTAATAATTATTAGTCGTATTTTGATTGAATGTTATAGTTTTGAAATTAGATGTTAATTGTATGAAATGGGTTTGTTAATTGTATCAAATTGGATGTTAATTTTATAACATAGGGTTGTTGAATTGGAAGTTAGGTCTACGATTGAATGTTAGGGTTATTTTGATTGAAATGAGTGTTACTTACATCTCATGGAATGAGATGTTGAGTTGATGATTATTTGTATGGTTTTTGGATGTTAGGGGTTTTTCAAATTGGATTTTAATTTTATTGGTGTTATTTGATTGAATGTTAAAGTTATTTTATTTTATTGTTTTATGACATTGTATTTCTTAATTGTATGAAATGTGATGTTGAAGTTAAATTTTTAAATTGTGGAATTGGAAGTTAGGTTTGCTATTGAATGTTGGTGTTTTAAAATTGAATGTTAGGGCCATTTTTGTAAAAATCAGGTTATTTTGATAATAGTTGAAATTTCATTGAAATTGGTATTAATTATACACAATTTATGAAATTGACTATGTAGCCACAACCATTGCAATCGCACAACCATCGAAAAATGGATGATGTTACTATTTTTAAAAATGTAAGTTCATTATTTCTTTAACTCTCTCTAAACAATGTTTTTTTGTCTACAGTTCAAATGTTTCGTCAAAATAATGTAGGTCTGGGGATTCGCAACAAGTATGAACTTAATCGTGTCCATATATGTAAGGTAGTGTTACCTCACATCACACCCATTTCTCATTCATTTTTATTTTTTTGGTTTTTAACTAGCGTTTTCTTAAGTCATATTTATAATAATAAGATAGAGTCTATTTTGAATCTCCAAAGTTGGGAATGCACAAAGATGGCTCAAATTTCATCTACTTTTATTTTATCGGTTCACATTCCATTCAACTATATCTAATTGGATCCAACAGTTCACAAATCCATCACAACAAAAAACTATCCCGCCCAAACTTTTTAAAAAAAAAAAGCCTTTTTCACAGATCCCAACCCATGTCAGACATACCCATCACTACACGTCTCTTTTTCTTCTCTCTAGCTCCCCCATTCTACGACTTCTCTACTCCCTCCCACCACCCATCATCGGCCATCCCATCGCCAACAACACCACAGTCTAGGTAAGTTTTATCACTCTCTCTCCTCTCTTTCTCACCACTAAGTCCAGGTAAGTCACACACACATACACACACCCCAACACAATAACACCCATAGAGCACACACACCCCTAACACAACAACACACGCACACAGTCATACTCACGCACGCACACACACATACATCACAGCGCACCCCAAGTGTTTGTGTTATTGCTTCAATGAGTTGGCTCTGTCAATTTAACAATTTTGATGTAAGCTTCAATGAGCTTCATTAAGAAACAGAGACTATCTCTTGCTCCTCCCCGTCTCTTGCTCACCCTTGTGCCACCCCAAAATCCCATCGCCTCAACAAGCACACACATCTCTGATTTTGTACCACACACACACCCACATATTTCTCCCTCTCTCTTTTGTCATCTAATATAAATTCCTTTCTATTTAATTTTCAATTAAAGGTATATTATTCGAATTTAATTTGCATAGAAAATTTTAGTTTTTGAATTGTTCTATGAAAAAGAAATTGAAGGCAAGATATGATTTTGAGAATTTTCTATTTACTGATATGAATTTTTGGGGCTATAATAGGTTGAATTTATATGTTAGTGATACGTATTTTAATTGGATAAATGTTAGATTGTTGAAATTATTTGATTTTAGACAACCATGGAGAAATTTTTTGAAATTTCTATGAACTATTTATATTTGATCTTTGTTTATACTACGTAAGCTATCAGTTTATGTAGTGACTAGATAATTGATAAGAGTGGTCATCCAATATATTTTATTAACATGTGTTTGCTATTTGTCCGTGAAAGCAATGGGTGCTGCCTGGAGATAAACGAAGCTCATTTAATGTTTTGTCAATGCTTTAGAATTTTTATATTGTGTTGCTTTCAAGTTGTATTTGTATTTTATCACTATACAAACACAATTTTTTGGTTTTTTTGTATTACACCATGCACTGGCATGTGCATTAGTTAAATGTTACATGTTACAATTATTTTGATACAAGTGGGTGGTTGAATGATAGTGGTTTGATTGGATTTGGTTTAACAAATCTGGTTTCATTTTCCATTTTGTATGGATTGGTATATGCTTTACTAATGTAGTCATTATGCTTTGAAACTATAACCATTTCTCTCTCATATTCCGTCAATTTGATTTCTTTTGTTGAACTTCCTTGCAGATTTTTTTGTTGTAAGATTGTAATAGGAGATGTTGGACAGTAACGGATCAAAGTAGGAATCATTTCCGGATGGTAAAGCAGAGGTAAGTTCTCAAATGCAGTGCAAAATCCTAGGTCTTCTTTGAATATTGCTTTGTTGCGGTGATTTTTGTTGAAAAAATGCATATGCAATTTATGTGATCCCTACAAAAGTAGAAAGAAAAATAAGGAAGTTGGATGTTTCAAACACGTTGGAAGTTTGATTAGCAAATCCATTGTTTTACGTATAATAGGTTTTCTAAACTGGCAATTTTCACAGAACGTGGATCTATGTTCATTCTATTTTGTTCCATTTTTATTTGATCTTTTATATTATTGCTAGATATATATTGGAGTTGAAGTTTATTGGGTCTACAAGGCTCCAATACTAAACCTTTATTTACATCAATGGCATCTAAAAACATTTGAGATTTGGTTATGACCTTAATGTGTTTTGTTGTTTCTTTTTTCCACAGCAATATGTTCACATACTTATTTCGTTTTATTTTCACGTATCTTTTTACAAAATGATGAAGACTTAGAACAAACCGTAAGATGAGCTCCATTTAGTATGTGTCCATTTACTCGTTAAATGCATCTTTTTGTATAGCAACTATTATTGGTAGATACAACCTATGGTCCAAGACGACTGAGGATGCATTACTATTGTAGTAACCAATAATCAAAATATCGTTTCGACTCATTGTTTGGTCACCTAAGAAATGAAAACGTTTCTGAAACGTTTGGAAAACATAATGAAAATGGATAAAAATTTAGAGATTTATTTTCAAAAAATTTCAAAGTATTAGTCTAAATATAGTTAAAGATCTTGAAACATCTAGGAACATGCCAAAAATGTTGGTGAAAACATATTGAAACATCTCCAAAAAAACTCAATATTCTGAAATATCTCGAAGTATTAGAATTTCAATTCAATCAATGATTTGTTTCGGTCTTCTTAGAAACAGAAACGTTTTAGACGTTTCGACCGTTTCAACATAGTATTTTGATCCTTGGTATTAACATGGTTAGTTCAATTTTCATGCTAGTTAGGATTTTTAAGTGAATAGAATTATCTATTGGTGCATTTTTTGGTGGATTGAATACTCTTTAACTGAATTTTCATGTTCTAAATTTTTATGTTGATTGATTTTTTCTAAATCTTTGTCTATTGCTCTAGGGTTGAATGTGGTGAAATAATCTTTACACTACCATGAAGGGCTTTGTAAGTTTGGTTTGCCTTTCTGCTTTGTTGTTTATAGCTTTCAACAAATTTAGCTATGTATTAAAGTTTTGAAAGG